GTAGATCTTAAAGGTACGTTGGCATTCATCACTTTCTTTTCCTTTCTTACTTTTTTTCTTCTCTTAATAATAGTACAAGTAATCTGGGGAGGGGAGTGGGGGGGGGGGGGGGAAGGGTTAAGACGTTCTAGCAATATTCGAATAATGCACGTTCAAATGGCTGGCGATAAGAGTAACCTAGCAGTCATGCCATATGAACAGTTTACATGGACAATAATGTCACAATGTGGTAGGGGTTGGTTATTGGACAAATATATGTATGGATAAATTTTGATTAATCTTTTACTGTATTCCTGGGTAGTTCACTTAAACTTATTAAATAAGCAAAACTACAGTAATGAGCTGGAAATTTATAATGATTTATTCAGTCTGTAATGTTGATTTTTCAGCAAATATGGCTTATGTTAATATGCAAGGCCCAAATCTGCCAACTTTGGCAGATTTGAAAAATCATCTTCGCGAAGAGCCGCTGTACCTCCAAGTATTGGAGGATTATTTACGAAATGCGGCGCATTTAGTATGTTTTTCTTTCTTGCTTTTGAATTGAGTTTAGTTACAGTAATATTCAATTTGTTTATTGAATTTGTCTTAAAAGGTGTGATTTTTTTTCAGATTAATGATTTGAGGGCGAGGCTGGAGAGAAATGAGCTTGAAGCTCATGATAATATTGCAACAGTTGCGGTCCCAAGGGCGGACTTAGGACATCGCTCAAGTCCTCCGCCAACTCAGGAGCAATTAGAATTGTCCCTAGAGCTCCTGGAACACGAGCGCGGAATGGAGCAAGAAGGTGAGGATGAGGAGCGGCTCGTGTTCCATCCCCTCCAGCAGCAACAACATGAAGAGCGAGAAATGGTAGAACCAGTACCGGCACTGGTTCAAGACGAAGAGGAGGAGGAGTTGGCGGAGCGGCGTGAGGTATCACAGGAAGCGCTCCTCAATGACGAAGTGATACCAAGAGCGCCCTCAATGGTCCAGCGACGCAGGAAAGTGGTACGAACCCGTGAAATAATACTGTAAGTTTTATTTCTGACTATAAAGTGTGCCAGAAAATTCAGTTTGAAATGCTAAATTCAGTTTGAAATGCAGTTTGAAATGCTAATTTGTCACATCTTCATAGTCCGATCTTCTGAATTATTTTACAATGCAGTAACTGTCTTTTTCGGAGTAGTATGCTTAACAAGTAAAGATGTAGGATGAGCAGTTAGGTTCATAAGAAGCTTTTTCTTTAAAAAAAAAATCTTGAGTGAATATACTTCAGGCGTTCCCGGACCATACGTGTCCCAATTGTGGAAGAAGAAGGAGGACGTGATGCAGTACCGGCGGGTCCGGAAGCCTTTCATACGCCGGTGGTGGAAGGTTTACCGCCGCAATACCGACAACTGCTGGTCACGCCAGAAACCGACCCATACACGGTGGCTCGAAATGCTGACGGGTCGGCCACAATTGGTAAATTTAAATTTATTTCATTACTATATTGAAAAGTTTACATGGATAATTTGAATATGTTTGGAAATGCTTGTCATACTTTCAGAATGCAGTATGTGCTCGAAAAGATTTGGGACCTTAAAAGGATGGCGAATCCATGCCAGCAAAGTGCACCGACAAAATGGCAAGTTTCACTTCATATACTAATGCTGTTGCTGGGATTTTGAATGTTTATTGTTAATAATAACCACAAAAGTAAGACAGTTCTTATTATGATGCAGTCATTTCAGGCTTTTGTCAAAGATGCGGCCATTTCATTAACATGCCGCATGTGAACTCCGATGAGGAAATAACAGCCACGATGGAGCTCCATTCCTTGGAATGGTGCCCCATGGCCACGAAGACCGTCATAAGTGAGAGGGCTGTTAAACGAAGAAGGCTAGAACTAGCTGGTAGAAGCGATGAAGCCCAGCACTATTACATCCCCGGTAGGTGAAACATTTCTTTTTTTCAAGTGGTATCAAATGCAAAATTCTATGGTTATATTCATTATTTTATTTGTTCTCACTTAATCTTCGTATTTTTTGCAGGTGCAGAAGAAGGATGCAATTTCTACCAGTAAAAGGAAATGTCGTGTGCAGAGCCATCCTTGTCCAACTTGCGCCTCGCTCCAGCTTCATACTCATCTCTACGCAAGTAATACCAGTTTTTGCTTACTAGCAAACTAGGTTTTCGGATTTTTTGATTAACTATGATATTTGAATTTTTTCTATTTACTGTTTATGGAATTAATGACTTACTTGCTGTAGCTTGTTTTTTTTTTTTTTTTTGAGTACTTTAGCTGCTAATTTT